GTGATCCTGATAACGAGGATTTAGGGATCGCACTGGGACGGACGCTGGCAGTTCAACAGGTCAGGACAAAGTATTTTCTCTTACTTGATGACGACACGATTATCACCAACCGCACCAACATTGAACTACTTGCTGAGATTTTAGACACTACAGATGCATCACTGGTGGGTGGAAAAGTAACTGAAAATGCTGATTTTTCTGGGTATTTGCAGTTTGGGTACTCGGATATAGAAAAGAGACGACAACTTACTCTTTATAAAGGTGCCTGTGCAAGGTTCAATGAAACAATAGAGAACTTTCCAGAGTGCCTGAGATGCGAATTGACCACAAATGTTTTCATGGCAAAGACAAAGGACATTTTGGAGGTGGGCGGCTGGAGCGAAGAACTGAAGATTGTGGAACACAAAGACTTGTTCCTGAGACTGAAAGCTGCCCAAAAGAAAGTTGTTTACTGTCCCGATTTTCAAATCCACAATGGGAAACAGACGAATAAGGAAAGAGATGTTGCTTACACGAAAAAGAGGTTCGGCCGATTTCATCTCATGAGAACACTTTTTGATAATATTTGGAATGTAGATGAAACTGTAGCGACATTTACCAAACGTATGACAGAAGAAGTTCGGTCGGAGATACTAAGTGTTAGTTGATTCTGTACACTAGGATATTATGTTCAGCCGGTTATTCGAACGTAAATTTTTATGCCAGCTTTGTTATGCAGATCCTACATAGGTCCAGGAGTACCGGACGTTTAGGCAGGGTGCTAGGTTATGGAACACACTCAACTAGGTAGTATGAGAGTCCGAAAATCTCCGAAAGGAGATGTCATCAGAGTGTGATCCACTGCCTGACTGACCTGTGGGTAGAGTTCACTAGACTCTATAACTATGACAGGTAGTATCTTCTATGTGTTGCTGAGATCCAGTGTCCATGGAACCTATCACCTATCTAGATAATAATAACAAAATAATTTTGGATGGAGATCTCGCCATGTAACATGTATGTATGTTTTCATTATTATATTTATGGATTGTATTACATATATTTTGAAAATTTTTTCCAACAAAAATTATGAAGGAGTAAGTTTTTTTTTGACACGATTTTGTAAATTCGTTTATTGCTTGTTTAATTTGTATTTTTGCTTCATAACTTAGTATCATTTCTATCTGAGATTAAATTTATTTTGTAGATTATAATGTCGTGATTGCATAATCGATTGCAAATGTATTATATCTCATTAATATGTATCGTGGTGGAAAAGTTTTAAGCGGGTAAAAGCCAGTTATTAAACCCTAGCTCCATAACATGAAGACCTTGTTTTAATTTGTATTGAAAAGCACTAATAGTCATATGATGCTTACTGTCACCAAGATGTAACTAGGTCGAACGGTAAAATTAGGTCTCATGTAGGAATTAGGTCTCAAGCAGGCGCGGCTTTTAAGTCTATTTATATATACGTCACCGTTCTCAGCAGATGAACTATCTACAGCTCTCAAGCAGACAAAGGACACGTACGGTCATGACGGAATTCCTTCTCTGCTGTACAAGTGTGTTGACTTGGACACTGCTTTACTATCTCTGTTCAACAACATGCTAGCTACTGGTAAAGCCCCGGAAGAGCTTCTTGTCACTGCCATTCTTCCTATACCCAAAGGAGCTAAAAAGTTTTGTCCTGAAAATAGCAGAGGCATCTCCATCCTCCCTGTTGCCACGAAAATCTACAACAGGCTGCTTCTAAACCGAATCAGGAGCCACATAGAACCTCGCCTCCGATACAACCAGAATGGTTTCCGGCCTGGAAGAGGGACTCGTGAACAGATTCTGGCTCTTAGACGTATCATCGAAGAGGTTGTGAACTTCCAGCTTCCTTGTGTCATCTCCTTTATTGACTTCTCAAAGGCCTTTGACTGCATCTTCAGATCGCATCTTCCCGACATCCTGGCTTCCTACGGCTTTCCTAAAAAAATCATAAAAGCCATTATGTCACTCTACATCAACACTAAGGCTAAAATCATGACCCCTGAAGGTATAACCTTAGAATTCCTTACCAACCTCGGAATTCTCCAGGGCGATGTTCTTGCACCTCTCATTTTTATCATCGTCCTGGATTTCATACTAAAACTGGCAATAGGGCCACGTGATGGGTTTAAAGTTGGAAGTAACTACATTGCTGATTTGGAATTCGCCGATGACCTAGCAACAATTACTGACAGCTTCAGCGAAAATGGCCGCCTTTGCCAAAGCATTTCTGACATAGCAGCCCGTTATGGTCTCCTTATTAACATCGAAAAGACCAAATACATGTCCTATAACATCCCGCGACCTGTCAACTCAGACGATAGAGTCTTTATTAACGGCATCCCTTTAGAAGAAGTTCATGACTTTAAGTACCTAGGATCCTTTATAGCCTCAACAAGCAGAGACATCGATGTCAGGAAAGGCCTCGCATGGAAAGCTTTACAGAGTCTAGATGCTTTTTGGAAATCTAATATGTCTAGGAAGATGAGTAAGATCAAAACTAAGATTTTTCGAACTGCAGTAGAACCTGTTCTGCTGTATGGTGCAGAAACCTGGACTCTTAAAAAGGCTGATATTAGAGCACTAGACGGTGTTTATACTAGAATGCTACGAAGGGTCTTTTGTATCTCATGGAAATCACATACACCTAACTCCGTTCTTTACGGAAAGATTCCATCGGTGACGATACTATAAAGACACGAAGACTTCGTTTTGCAGGACATGTCTACCGTCTACAGGACCAACCTGCTCAACAACACCTTTTTTGGCAACCATCCTATGGCCAGCGTTATCGAGGACGACCACATAAGACCTTCCCGGACGTCCTACTTGAAGACACTGGAATGGAACCTGACCAGCTGCGTTTACTCATGTGTGATAGGGATAAATGGAGAGAAGCGTTGACACGAAACTCGTTCCAGATTTCATCTGGATCGACCTAGGCAGGCAGGTAGGCATATATATATATCACGCGCCTGCGTGAGACCTAATTCCTGCGTGAGACCTCATTTCTCCGTTCGACCTAGTTACATCATGGTGACAGTTCACTTGGATAACCGACTCATTTGCTTGAAAACCTCACTTGACACTTGAGTGGTGTATTATGAGCAATTCTTTGCGGGTGTCATATACTGATTGGGTACTTGATCGGCTCTAACAGAGCAGCTGACTTGTTAACATGCAGGTGGCACATATTCAGTTACTGAGATGATCAACTGATCCCAGGAGCTGACTAGATCCTCAGCTGTTGACAGAGTGGATCACATGATCGTCGAGCAGCTCCTGGATATGTTAGAGCCTTGAAATTTTAGGAGTCGATCGTTTTCAGATTCTGAGCACATTGCACTAATTCTTAACTCAGCAGCAGCTCCATAAGCTCTTTAAAATGCCAATCAGTGAATGATGAATCACTGAATCAGTGTCTATCTGGTTTTATAGTATTAATTAAACGGCGTTTCATTGCTTTTATTTACTTGTTTGACTTTCTTTTTTATTTCTGCGTTATCACTTTGCAACAACTTCTCAATTTGTATATTCAAATCTTAGCTATGTCTAAGCACAAGTCATTTTACGGAGTAAGTTATACATTTTATTTCTACTGTTTCCTACAAATTTTCCATCCAACAAGAATAGGTTTTAAAGATGAAAATCTCAAATTATATGGCTAAAATGAGCACTTTATCGTCAATGTATTACAGAGTAACTGTAAGAATAGTGTAGGTAAAATTATTCCGAATGCTATGAGCATGTCTTCCCAGCATTGTACATGCGATCACTAGTTCTGATATATTTTTTAAAACCTTTACAGGCCTGTGAAAGAGGAGACTTGACTATGATCATGGCAATGTTAGATGCTGGCCAAGATGTCAACTTATCAAATTCATCAGACGGTTTCACTGGACTCCACTATGCAGTAGATTCAGGGAACCTTGAAGCTGTAAGAGTCCTTCTCTTTAGACATGCAGGTAAATCCACTGGGCATTTCCTTTTTCTAATCTACTATATATAATATCTGTAACTTCATTTATTACTGCTAATAACCATGAGTTAGATATTTTCAAACGTATTTTTCAGATCCAAACAAGAAAGGACCAGATGGTGCTTCACCTTTACACTGGGCAGCTAGGACTGAAGACCGAGGTGAAATTATCAAGTGTCTTCTGAAAAGTCGAGCTGAGCCTAACTTACAGGTGTGTTATTTTTATCTAGCTTAGGTTCAAGTGTTTTGTTTCTATGCAACAGTCATTTGAAAATCGTATCTTTGCAGTTGAAGTGTTCAACATTCAGAACATTTACTGTGAACTGATCAAATATGAGAACCATTCAATTTCAGGGGGAAGTTTGGAAGTTGGAAGGGGCAGCAATTCATATTGCAGCAAATAAAGGGCATGTTAAGAATCTACGGGCCCTCATGATGAACAGCGAAACTAACTCACTAAACATTAACTTATCAGGTATTATCAGTGGACTTTTCTAAGATTGTACTAAGCTTTTATGTTTTTAGATTATGACGAACAACAGTACTAGTCACTAGCAACAAGTGTAATTTTAGTGCAGCTTATTTTAGTTATCATAGTTAAATAGACTATACTTCAGACAACGTTAGTGACTTTGCTAAAGGGAACACTGCACTACACTTGGCAGCTGCCCAAGGGCACGAAGCCTGTGTTCATTCTCTATTGCTCGACTACAAAGACAATCCTGACCTTTGGGCTAGAAATGGGTAAAATTGTGAATAATGATAAAATTATTTGTCTTATTGCATCTGGCCAGGTTCATATCATCTGAAAATTTATTTGTAATTCGGCCACATACGCTGCACTGATGCACTGAAATATTGCCTCTAGCACATGGTTGACTTTTGTTGATGTTTGTATTTCAGGAAAGACCGACTGCCACTCCATGTTGCGTGTTCTCGGAACAATGAAAATATTGTCAAAGAACTGATCAAGAGATATGCTTTAGACAAGGGATCCAGGGACTGTATGGCGGCTGTTGATGCGTTCTCACGTAACCCCCTCCAAATTGCTTGTCTGAATAACAATGTCAACGTGGTGAAATACTTGACTGACAGGGTAAAAGAATTGCTGCCATTTCTTGATATGGAAAAGTTCGTTAACTATTCAACAGGAGAACATGGTGAGTTATTTCGTATAATATTCATGCTGTGTTTAAATAATGCATTTCTCTTCAAATTATCGTTTAATTTTACCAAGTCCAATACGAATAGCCTTGATGACACAGTACTAAATATTTCCAGGCGAGACAGCACTACACTGTGGAGCAAGAGGAGGCAGTAAAGAGGTGATAGATATACTGATCAAAGCGGGGGCTAAAACAGATTGTGTTTCGGCAAGTCAACGCACCCCACTGCATGTGGCTTGTAAAAGAGGAAACCTGGACGCTGCCACCGCACTCGCCAATTGGTTTGTTCAATAATTTTGATATGATGATATAACCTTATTAATATCACCAGTGTCTGTAAAACCGTTAGTTTGATTTTCATGAAATTGATTTAATTTCGGTGATCTTTCAGGAATGGAGAATTGATAACGAGTGTTGATGATTCAGGAAAAACTGCCCTGATGATTGCCAGTGCTGAAAATGATTCACCCGCTATTGCTCAAATGTTGATAGGACTTGGTGCTAAAATTTCAGTTCACGATCATACTGGCAAAACTCCTGTCTTTGAGGCTGGTAGGTTTTATATAAGCAATAAGCATGGCTCTGTTTTGTGCAGCATACTAAACAATCAACATGGCACTCACATAAAACTCATGTAAAATCTATCCCAATGTATGCAATTATTTAAAAAATTTCATTCTAACGTGGTTCTTTCAATGGTGTCTTACTCAGTTCTACACAATCGTGTGAACGTTCTGGAGTATCTGATGACACAGTTGACATCAGACATGATAGAACAAGATATTGACAAATCTCAGAACACACCGCTTCACTGGGCTGCTGATAAGGGTTTTCTGATATGTTGCAAGGTTAGGGGTTGAATCTTATCTCTTTTGGATAGAGTTAATCTAATAGGATTTATCGGATCATTTATTATTGTGTAATACTAATAGAACGTATATTCGAAAAAGCCCATGTAGTCGAAACGATGTAGCGTTGGCGGTACTTGTAACAAAGTTTAACTCATCAAATTTCAAACAGATTCTAATTGAAAAGAAATACAAGATCGGTCAAAGGAACAAAGTCAAGGGGAAAACACCAATTCATAATGCAGCAACGGAGGGGAGAACTGAGTAAGTTCGGTTTTTAATTTTAGTGATGTTTCTGTTTTGTATAATTTAACGTCCCTTATCAACAGCTACTTTACGATATCTTAACAATGAAGTGACATATGCTTGATGAAATGAACCGTGAAAATAGATCTAATCAAAACTTGCAGGACGCTGAAAATAATGTTAGAAAGTGAAAGTAAAAGTTGTCGTTTTGTCGATACAAACGGCAACACGCCTCTCCACGATGCCGCTCAGCGGGGTCAGTCCCAGTGTTGCAGGTTAAATTAACAACTTTTCTCAGATTTTAATATTCTTTTAACTCATTCGAAAATATAGGGAAACATAGCTGTTTTTGTTAACTATCGAAAATTTGAAAAAAATGTGAACAAAATTTGTCGTAAAAATCATGATGAAAACATCAACATTTATATTTCGATAATAATATTGCTAGAAATAGTTATCAAAAACAAAATTCAGGTGATTTTAAGACTATGAAAATCGGAGAAAAATCAATTTAACAATAACTTACAGTTTTCAACTTTATTGAATCTATCAAAAACAAATGTAATCAAATTCAATTGGCACACTAAAAAACAAATAGACATAAACTATGCTTTCAGCACATGAGTCATGGATAGGAAAAAAATAAGCTCGAAAATTATAATGCATAATATCTAGAAAAGCAAAATGCTAAGTACAAACTCACGATCATATTCTGTGATCTTTAGCTAAGAGTCGTCACAGTCGAGCTTTGAACAAAACTCTTCAGAAATGCAACGTTTGTAAAAATAGGAGTACCGTTATTTTTTCCAAAAAATTTACTTAATTAACAATTACTCATGAATTTTTGTAATGCTCAACAATTCTAAAACTATCTCAATTCTCAATACTATCTTATAGCGGTGACTGAAGTGTGCCCTCCAACCCATCCCTCTCTCCTCAGGATCTTGCTGTCAAATGGAGTATAAACAACGAGAATGCACGAGGTGTCACTCCCCTGCATCTTGCTGCAGAAGCAGGCCACAGAACTACCGTAAAAGTTCTGTTAGAAGCAGGTGCTAAGTTTAACGTGCCCGACCTAAACGAGGAAACTCCACTGCACTACAGCGCTCGTGCTGGACAGGAAGACACAACAAAGGCTCTGATAAATAAAGGTGCTAACTTGGCTAAAGTTAGCCAGTTCGGCGACACTCCTCTTCTAACAGCTATTCGGAATAATAATGAGAATGTTATAGCCTTGTTGTTACAGTCAGAGCAATGGAATAAGAAGCTCTGACTGTTCCTGGAACTACTAAATCAACTCAAGGTATGCTTTATAATATCACTGCAAGATATTTAATTTTAACGTAGTTATTTTGTACAAAATAACTACGTCAAACCTCCTTTTAAGGAAACCTGACTTGCATATGGTTTCTTCCAAGAAAATCTTAACCCACATACGTATACTTGCTTTCGATATGGAAATGGCAAATTATGAGTAATAAGAGGAAACGACACAAGCTAGATTGCAAGTTGTCTCCACTCTCAATCTAACGCCCATTATATAAAAGCTCTCTTTGACTTCAAACTCATCAACAACTCCCTAACACGGAGTATCAGTTAGATCATAATATTACAACATTGCTGTCTTAAACATGATACTGGATTTTAATGCTTAATTTCACCTGAAACAACTTTTGAGTTCTCATTTGCGACGTACCTTAACTGTCTCATTGGTTGATAAAATTCGGCGATGCTCAAGTCAACTTTTTAACTTCCTTAATATGTGATCGTTAAGGGCTTCTGTGGAATGCAAGACAATTTAAAATTTCTCCTCAGAGCCAGCGTTGGAATCTGAAGGTGATGCAGTAGATACAAGTGGTATCAAATTAAACATGTTATCGGAAGTCGGGGGAAAGAAAGCCCGGAAAGAGCAGTTGATCAACAGTCACCCTCTGCATCAACTAATCATACACTATCCCTCCCAGGCGAGAGCTGTTTTTGACAAGTAACACAATTTCTTTACTTAAATCAAATTTATTTTATATTGTTGACGTTTGTTTTAGGGGAGAGGGATGATTTCTGTTTAATTGTTACGGTAGAAAAAATGCAATAAATTTTGTCTTACTTGGTTGACAATGACATTTTATACGCGCTTTTATGTCCTTATCTTAGATTCAGCTCCGTAATAGCGAGGGAGGGGGTTATAAATAACCAAACAGTGTGACAACTACTCCTCAGGTGCACCTATGTGGATCCAGATAACATGGTCTCCGAGGAAAAGGAGGACTATTGGGTTCAGTTTGACTACAGTGTTATTGACGATGCTACGGACGGTACCCTCCACCCTTTTAACACTATGGTACCTATTTATTTACCGTCATGGTACTCAAACTGTATATTAATTTTAAACGGTTGTCGTGTCATTAAAGCTTTTATAACAGTTTGATTTCGAGTCATTGCGAAGTTTAATTTAAATTACATCGCATTTAAAGCTCATCGCTTGTCACTATGATATTAATAATACCCGTATTTCCTTTTTATCTCGGCCCTTTTACTTAAAGTTAAACCAATAACAACCCAGTTACAACACGACAGAATAGACTTGTTGGATCACCCTCTTATCAGCTCTGTTATCACTTACAAATGGAATGCACAAGGCAAAGTCTGGTGTTATCTCAACGTGTTCCTCAATGTCATCTTCGTCATATTCATCTCGTTTGTTACCTTATATTCACGCATTATTCACTTGTTATTCATTATTATTCATTATTTTCGGAAAGCCAGATTTACTGCCTCATTTTATTTAAATCATAATTAAAAAAAAAACTAATTACAACACTACAAATCTATTACATTTATTGAGAAAATTATGTAATGTAACGCGATGGAAGTTCTTTAAGCGGGCAATTCCAGTCCAAACCCTGGAAACATGACATAAAAGATTTGTTTTTACTTGTTTGAATGAAAAGCACTAATACATAATGTCACACGCACATACATGATTCATAGATGTATTATCTTTATGATCTCCTTATCAGCTTATCTCCGCAGAACGTACGCTCTGATGGAAATACCACCTGATTCTGAATCAACTAATAATCGAGAGAAGGGAATTCTACTAGTCTTGTCGCTGTGCTCTATATGACTTAGTGGGTTGAGACTAGTTCTCGAGCTCTTTCAGCTCATTACCAACACCAGAGGATATTTAAAGTGAGGAGGGAGGCTAACTTTGTTCATGATCATTACATTTTTAAAGCGATGAAGATTATGGCTTTGTTATTTGCAATCTTGTTGTACCAGGTTTGCTGGTAGCAGTCTAAATTAAACTGAAGTCGCCGCACTAGTCATAAAATATACTATGGTCGAGAGTCGAGCGTGCCATGAATTAACTTGTTAGTGTAACTTGAACAAATAAACGAAATTACAAATTTGCAACCTAATATGAGACATGAGTGGATTAAAGCAATATTACATTTACTTCAGGGACCCGATGAACTATCTGGAAGTGGTTATATTTGGGCTGACTATTGTTTTCTGTCTCTCCATCATACAGTACCCAGATACCAGTCCCAGCTATTTTCAGTGGGAGGTAAGTCCTAAGTATTTCCCTGTAATTCCCACCTTGTTTTGACATGTACTGCTATATGCTTTATAATATCACTGCAAGATATTTAATTTTAACGTAGTTATTTTGTACAAAATAACTACGTCAAACCTGACTTACATATGGATTCTTCCAAGAAAATCTCAACCCACATACGTATACTTGCTTTCGATAAGGAAATGGCAAATTATGAGTAATAAGAGGAAACGACACAAGCTAGATTGCAAGTTGTCTCCACTCTCAATCTAACGCCCATTATATAAAAGCTCTCTTTGACTTCAAACTCATCAACAACTCCCTAACACGGAGTATCATGGATCAGTTAGATCATAATATTACAACATTGCTGTCTTAAACATCATACTGGATTTTAATGCTTAATTTCACCTGAAACAACTTTTGAGTTCTCATTTGCGACGTACCTTAACTGTCTCATTGGTTGATAAAATTTGGCGATGCTCAAGTCAACTTTTTAACTTCCTTAATATGTGATCGTTAAGGGCTTCTGTGGAATGCAAGACAATTTAAAATTTCTCTTCAGAGCCAGCGTTAGAATCTGAAGGTGATGCAGTAGATACAAGTGGTATCAAATTAAACATGTTGTCGGAAGTCGGGGGAAAGAAAGCCCGGAAAGAGCAGTTGATCAACAGTCACCCTCTGCATCAACTAATCATACACTATCCCTCCCAAGCGAGAGCTGTTTTTGACAAGTAACACAATTAATTCTTTACTTAAATCAAATTTATTTTATATTGTTGACGTTTGTTTTAGGGGAGAGGGATGATTTCTGTTTAATTGTTACGGTAGAAAAAATGCAATAATTTTGTCTTACATGGTTGACAATGACATATTATACGCGCTTTTATGTCCTAATCTTAGATTCAGCTCCGTAATAGAGGGAGGGGGGTTATAAATAACCAAACAGTGTGACAACTACTCCTCAGGTGCACCTATGTGGATCCAGATAACATGGTTTCGGAGGAAAAGGAGGACTATTGGGTTCAGTTTGACTACAGTGTTATTGACGATGCTACGGACGGTACCCTCCACCCTTTTAACACTATGGTACCTATTTATTTACCGTCATGGTACTCAAGCTGTATATTAATTTTAAACGGTTGTCGTGTCATTAAAGCTTTTATAACAGTTTGATTTCGAGTCATTGCGAAGTTTAATTTAAATTACATCGCATTTAAAGCTCATCGCTTGTCACTATGATATTAATAATACCCGCGTATTTCCTTTTTATCTCGGCCCTTTTACTTAAAGTTAAACCAATAACAACCCAGTTAGAACACGACAGAATAGACTTGTTGGATCACCCTCTTATCAACTCTGTTATCACTTACAAATGGAATGCACAAGGCAAAGTCTGGTGTTATCTCAACGTGTTCCTCAATGTCATCTTCGTCATATTCATCTCGTTTGTTACCTTACATTCACGCATTATTCACTTTTGTTATTCATTTTTGTCCAGTTGTTCTTAAAATCATTCAAGCATTATTCACTTTTATTATTCATTGTTATTCATTATTTTCGGAAAGCCAGATTTACTGCCTCATTTTAGTTAAATCATACATAATGTCACACGCACATACATGATTCATAGATGTATTATCTTTATGATCTCCTTATCAGCTTATCTCCGCAGAACGTACGCTCTGATGGAAATACCACCTGATTCTGAATCAACTAATAATCGAGAGAAGGGAATTCTACTAGTCTTGTCGCTGTGCTCTATAGGACTTAGTGGGTTGAGACTAGTTCTCGAGCTCTTTCAGCTCATTACCAACACCAGAGGATATTTAAAGTGAGGAGGGAGGCTAACTTTGTTCATCATTACATTTTTAAAGCGAAGAAGATTATGGCTTTGTTATTTGCAATCTTGTTGTACCAGGTTTGCTGGTAGCAGTCTAAATTAAACTGAAGTCGCCGCACTAGTCATAAAATATACTATGGTCGAGAGTCGAGCGTGCCATGAATTAACTTGTTAGTGTAACTTGAACAAATAAACGAAATTACAAATTTGCAACCTAATATGAGACATGAGTGGATTAAAGCAATATTACATTTACTTCAGGGACCCGATGAACTATCTGGAAGTGGTTATATTTGGGCTGACTATCGTTTTCTGTCTCTCCATCATACAGTACCCAGATACCAGTCCCAGCTATTTTCAGTGGGAGGTAAGTCCTAAGTATTTCCCTGTAATTCCCACCTTGTTTTGACATGTACCATTTATGTTCCATTCTGATTTTATGCAATGTGCTTAAACCAGCTGCCAGCACATCAGGCTTGTTCAGGATATTATTATCATAATTCCTCTAACTAGCTTGTGGCTAACATTTTTAATGATTTGCAGGAACCTAATATCCCGATGTAGAAAGATGGGTACACTAGATTACTAACTGCTGCTATACATTATTATGAACATGTACAATTTACACTTTACAGGTTGGTTGCTATGTGGTAGTATTTGCGTGGTACAACATGTTAATGTCTCTCAAGAAACTCCCTCTTATTGGAATCTACGTTCTCATGATTAAAATTCTCCTGGAATCCTTCATCAAAGTGATGCTGCCAATCTTTCTGTTTCTCATTCCATACATTCTGATGTTCCATATGAGTTTTCCGGAAGTGAGTTTTCATTTACTTTGTTCAATGTTCAGTATTCACTAAAAACACATTCTTACTTAAAACTCCATAATATGTTATATCATCTTTATCTATAGCTAGAGCTGACTTTAAAATGTTTCCTTGAAAACGATGCGTGGATATTATATACAGGGTGGGCCAAAAGTCAGTGTGCAAACGTTGGCCTTAATAGCTCAGTCACTTAGTGCCCAATTGAAATACTTCCTTCTGGTATGACTTAGTACCACCACTGGTTCGAAGAATTTGTCAACTCGAAAAATATTCGCGTTCATTTTTTTCAAATGGAGGTTCATTTTCACATTTATTTGATAGTTTGGATAGTCGGATCAAGCTAAATGTTACTGAATTGTGTTTGGCCATTCTAATTACGTTTGTCCTGAAAGAATTAGAACTGTAGCTTCTCAGATGACCGAGATATGAAGCATAACGAGTTTATTCATTACGTGTGATCAGGTGATTGGTTTACCTAATCACGTGATAAGGTGACCCCGTTAACTACCCCGTTAAACATTATGGGAATTGTTAATTAAGGTGTCGTGTCACGGTGTCACATAATCACCCAGTCAATTTTGTTAACGAGATACACAAAATGATTGATAAATTCGTCATTTCTAATCCGTTTTGCCTCATTTATTCAGATCAGATGCAACATTTAATAATCTACTGTCTCTGAAAAAATTAGGCGTCCAGCATGTTCAGAGAAAACAATATAGGTGTTTTAATATTGAATGGGCGTGGTCTAAAATATTTGAATTTTCAAATTTTGACGACGGAATCCTCGAACCAGTAAGTACAGTATGCCATCTGCAAAGCAACAGCTCTCAAATATAAAACACGGCGGAGGTATAAGACCCAACGTTTGCACACTGACTTTTGGCCCACCCTGTAGATATATGTAGTGAAAAAAGTTATCTGTTACAAATGAATCAGTTCAAAGCGATCTGTTATAAATGTATCTGTCACAAACTGTTACAAACTTAGCACCAAACTCCTGCAGACTGAAACGTTTAAAGGAATCGGCACCTCGATTGGCAAAGTAGTGACGATGTTCACCGGACAAAGTTTAAGCTTCGAAACGTACTTTGTAGCCGCAAATTCAGCCATCCCCGACTTCATCCACCCTGTTCAATACCCGTACTCAACTTATCCTCTTTACATGATGTTTCTCTTTCTCTGCCCTATCATCCTCATGAACCTGCTGGTACGTTTAATTTTTGTGAACTTGTTAAGAGTGCTTTCTATTTACAGTGTAGTGCTTGGTATTTAAGTCTGGTAGTTGAGACTATGACGGAGTTGTATGAGTCGGTTGAGTTATGTTGTAAAAAAGTAGCGTAAGAACCTAGAAGAACTGGGTCAACTTGAAAATATTTTGATACTCATTCCTTTGGTAATAATCCTACTACTCATCGTCTTCTATACTAGCAAAGATTTATTCTAATCGCAGTTTTCATGTGATCACGATTGCAGTAGAAATACATTTTTGCCAACCATCAAAATACATTAATTAATAGGCTAACTAATAGCCTAATCTCTCCAACAAAAATTTATTGATCATCAATATATATAAAATCATCAATAGATATATAATCGATATCACAAACCAAAAAATACACCGGTAAGCTTTATCTTTCCAATAAACATTTCTTTATAATCTAGATATATAATAAAGCTGAACTTCACTTAAACATGTTAAAGATGAAGCTCTGACAAAACAAAAACTCATTTATTACAGACTGTTTTGGCTATTCTTGATGTGGCTGAAACGAGGATAACATCCAAGTTGCGGAGATCAGCAGAGAGGATCGAGCAAATATTTCGAGCGGAGAAGATAGTTGGAAAACTTTCATTCTGCGGTGTTTTTGCCGTGTCTCGCTACCCTCACGTTAGTTTTAACATTTCCTAATTCTATAACAATTCTAATTCTTTGATTTTCTCCGCAGCACCTAATGAATTGGTGTACAGATGGTCGGGGTTAACTGTAAAGAATGGATTAAATTTGTATGTCAGATTGCCATCATTAATACATGTATTATTATCATTCCTTAGCCCCGTTTGCGTGCTGTCCCTCTATACTCTGAAGTCTGAAGTTATTAACAAATTAATTGATTTGTAAGCACTAATAGTACAGAAAGGAAACACAATATCTTAATTAGGAACACTTTTAAATAAGGGATAGATGCAGTTGAACTGCTGCACTACTACTGGCTAAGGCTATTAAGGCTATCAAGAAAAAACTTGAGTAGTTAAAAGATTCACATAAAGATCGAAATCTCATTTAACATTTCAGTTCACAGGTATTCTCAGTGGCATAACGAAGGGCCCCGCCGACCCTGCTGTGCAGGGGGGGGGGGGGGGGGGGCGCCATCTTAGGGGGGCGCCAAATTTTCGTTTGTATGTGGGACAATTTGGAAAAACTTTATTACGGTACTAGCAAAACTGCGCGTTTAACGTTTGCTCTAAAAACACACTTCCCTAGAAATTTTACCGGCGTAACCTCTAAAATCATCTAATTATTTCAATTTTAGGGAGGGGCGCCAAAAGGGGAGGGGCCAGGGGGCGCCAACAGGGGGGCACTTTTTCAGCGGGGGCGCCAACGGGCAACGTTATGCCAAACATTATAACTGGCTGGTCACACACATCTCAATTAAAATTACCCTAGGCTACTGTTTTCCAAGTCTTGTCCTGTGAGTAAAGTATGCGTGAGAAAGTTTTAATAAAATTATTGTATATTTACTTTTGAATTTTTAAAATCTAATTTGAGAATGAAGTTTAAAGAAATTTTTAATTAGCACTGTATAGTTTAAGATATGTATAGCTTATTTAAATAACCATTGATACAAAGGCCATAATCTTTCGCCAGCTCTCCAATATCCACCCTGAAGCTGCATTTTATATCCTTGAACTACACAATATAAACTAAAGCATGTTTTAGTGTAGACTTTTTGTCACAACAAAACTGCAACCTATAATAACAACTATAAACAGAACCCCTAATGTCTGCTAACAATTTTTTTTCTTGTCCTAATCTGAGCCTTGTCCCTATAAACTTAACTGAACTAGCGTTTCGGTGTTTGCAAAAGCTTCCAGGCACGCATTCCTGCCCCGTTAGTTACTTGTCCTTCCAAAACCAAACTAGCAGTCAAGGACAAAAAGTCTCTCTCTCTCTCTCTCTGTTCTTGTCAACGGTTTCTGGCCTCCTACTTTAAAGAGGGAGGACTTATCACCGTGCCCACAGAATGCAACTCCTGCTAGCTCGGTTCCAGGACTCCCAAAGTATATAAGAAATCATAAAATAATAAATATCAATGCAACAGACCTCTGGAGTCTTGAAGCTGTCACTACCTGTCTCAGAGCAAACCCACTTTCGTTGTAGTACTTCTGCGGGCAGACAAGGGACTTCCGAGCAAGGTCAAAGCCTGGGAGATATGTCTCTATGCGGAGATGGGCCTAGATTGAGTTCCTAGTATGGGATTTAGCGAAAGTTCCTGGTGAAGAATCCTAGGAGGTTACCCAAAAGGGGTTTCCCTATCCAGTCTTGTCGACTGTTCCACAAATTTGAAGATATGATTGTAGTTTACTGTTGTTAAGGTAGAGTTTACCAATTATCCTCATTCTGAATGTCATGATCTGGATGCACTTGCAGAGAAGGTGCTGGGATGTTTCTGCTTCTCCTGAAAAGTGTTCACAATCTTGCGTCTCGAATTTGACGTTGTTTGCCACGTTCTGAAAGTAAACTAGTGGGCTGTGACCTATCCTGAAAGCGACCATGTTAGCCATCTGATGTGAGTTCCAGAAAAATTAAAGTTCCTGTATTTATACAGGCATACTGTACCTACTTGTTCGAGGATTCCGTCGCCAAAATTTGAAAATTCTAATATTTTAAACCCCGCCCATTCAATATTAAAACACCTATATTGTTCTCTCTGAACATGCTGGACGCCTAATTTTTTCAGAGACGGTAGATTATTAAATGTTGCATCTGATCTGAAAAATGATGTGAAACAGATTAGAAATGACGAAGTTATCAAGCATTTTCTGTATCTCGTTAACAAAATTGACTGGTAGGAATAGGAATACAAATTTAAAATCTTGAGCTACAATAGTAACTGTTAAGATAATAACAATATCATAAGATTTGAATTTATTATATTAATATAACTTAACTAAAGTGAAAAATAAAGATTTGACATAGAATATTTTGTTTTCAGTCGCCTTGGTAATGCTGTAATGCTTGAGCCAGGTCACTTTGCAATTTGCACTCGTCGTTGCGCGAAAAGAAACAAAAGCGGGTACAGTGATTTTCAGTGTTCACTGTTCATGTACTGGCCAGAGAGTCAACAAATTTCTTGCGGTTGTTAAAACACGTAGTGGCAAACCTAGCAACGACTCTCGTGAGGTGGACTTGACTTTCGTTCGTGATAAGTTCAATGATTTCACTGTTGTTGCTGATGAATTTGAGGACGTTTGCTCCAGGGATGACATTGTGAACAGAATAAGATGTCGCAGACGGTTTGATTGGATTTGATATGAGTGACTGGATCTTGTCTAGGACTTTTCGCCTCGATGCAGCGTTAAGATCACAATGGTTAAGGAAGTGATCTTCATTCTCAATAATACCAGAACCTAAGACTATATTGCACCAGGAGCATATTCGCTCGTCACGAGGAGTTTGATTATATCGGCCAAGTTCAATTTCGAGTCGATGTGCACTGATCCGCAGTCTTGTGATATTAGCACGGTCTGCATATTTAATGACACTATCTAGGTAATACTCTTTGTTAAATTTGGATTTTAGGTCACGATAGAATTCTAATTTCCGAGAAGTGTTGATACAGGACCCCCAATATTCTCTAACGTTACATTTCAAAGTTTTAGTAATGACGTGTGGTGTGAATATTTTACTCCCGATGGGTTGTGTTGATTGAGGAGGAATTCGTTTCTTGAAACCGTTGTGAATAAGAAAGTCCTCTTTTGGTGGTTTTGCGATACTCGGGTTTCTTTCGAAAAGTAACTTGGAGTGATTGTTTTTGAGTGTGCGGTAGGCTGTGACATGATCGGTAGAGAAACATGGGTCTAGCGCGAGGACAGGCTCCAAACCCCTGTACCAGTCCAATTTCATGTTCATCTGTTCTTTGAAAGCTAAGGAGACAATGGAGTTATCTTTGAGATTTTTCAAACGTTGGCTATATTTGAGAGTGAGGTTAATACATTCATAGATTAATGGGTAGCGGCCTGACTCACCCCAGACGCCTGCGTTGCTGGCTTTACGATTTACCCCCAGTGACCATTTAAGAAAGTGAAGGTGAACTTTTTCGCTGTTCAGAAGACTAATTTTCTTGAGGATACTAGTTTGAAATTTTGTTTTTGTGTCGGCATCCATATTGAGATCGACTTGTTTTGTTATGTGTTTTATGATAGCCATGTTAGGTGTGTAAATAGGCGCTCCGTAAAGAACGATAGGTTTAATAAGACCATCAAAGAGTGTTGTTAGAGAGCGGAATGATAATTTGGATTTGTTTACTGAGCTTTTCATGGCATAAAGTGCACGCATGGCTTTCTTTTTGAGCTCAGTTCGGGCATTTGTGAATGTGCCGGATTTGTGTATTTCGATTCCTAGATAGCAGTATGACTCGACTTCTTCTAACAAGTGATCACCAATTTTGAGGGGAACCGGCTGATAAGTATCAAAACGGGCATTAAATTTCATGAGTTTAGTTTTATCTGCATTAATTTCGACGCCCCATTCCAAGCAGAAATTGTTCAAAGCATCGAGTTGCTTTTGGAGGGTTTTGGGGTCCAGTGCCAAGAGTATCAGATCATCTGCCCATAGTAAGTGACTGATAAGTTGGTTCATTAGTTTCGGACAGTTATCATATTCTAGTCGAGGGGAAAGATCTCTGATGTATATCTTAAATAGATCAGGGGAAAGTGGATGACCCTGTTCAGTTCCTTTATTGATATCAAATTTTTCGCTGACAAATCCAGATAGTTTTATCTGGCCAGTGGAATTTTTATACATATGTTTAAGAACATTAAATGTTTTGCCAGTGATACCTAGTTTAGATAATTTTAAGAAAAGAGCTTCACGGCAAACAGAGTCGAAGGCCTTCCGGAAGTCCACAAAAACAGCATAGACGGGAACCTTGAGCTTTTTGTATTTAGACGTAATTGTGTTGAGTGTGAGTATGTGGTCATATGTTTGAGCTCCTTTAGCGAAGCCAAGTTGATTTATGGGGTCCGGGTTGTATTCATTTTTGAACTTGATTATCCTGTTTAACATGATGGTCGAAAATAATTTTCCGATTGTACTACTCACAGCAACTGCTCTGTAATTGTCTGGATTATCTTTGTCGCCTTTTTTGTGTAGGGGTGTAATAATGCTGTTGTTCCATGGGTAAGTTCCAGTGTCCAAACAGCGGTTAAAGACTTTGCAAAGGAGTTGTGTGTTTGTTGTGGACAAGGTCTTCAGTATTTCATTACATATCATATCCTCCGAGGAACTTTTGCCGTTTTTGAGTGAAGAGATCGCAGTAGATATTTCGTCCACAGAGATCTGGCCATTGAGTATTGATTGTGCAGGGGATGGTTGGAAATTATTGTTAATAGCCTCTGCATTTTGAAGCATTTTTTCCTTATTCTCTACAGTTATGGTGCTATGTGCATTGGCATAAAGTTTACCAAAGAATTTTTGAAAGTTGTCCATGTCATGGCAATCAAATTTGTCAACTCTTCCTTTAAATTTTTTCAGTTTTTTGAATTGTTTCCAGTTTAGAATTTTATGGTTGATTATGTGACACCGTGACACGAGACACCCCTTAACAATTCCCATAATGTTTAACGGGGTAGTTAACGGGGTCACCTTATCACGTGATTAGGTAAGCCAATCACCTGATCACACGTAATGAATAAACTCGTTAGGCTTCGTATCTCGGTGATCTGAGAAGCTACAGCTCTCATTTTTTCAGGAGAAACGTAATTCGAATTGCCAAACACAATTCAATAAAATTTGGCTCGATCCGACTATCCAAACTATCAAATAAATGAGAAAATGAACCTTAATTTTTTTAAATGAACACGAATATTTTTCGATTTGACAAATTCCTCGAACCAATGGTGGTAGTAAGTCATGCCAGAAAGAATCATTTTAATTGGGCACTCAGTGACTGAGCTATTAAGGCCAACGTATGGGTACTGACTTTTGGCCCACCCTGTATAGGGATTCAGTCCTACAATCATACGGTAAAGAACTAGCGGACGAATTCGCAAGGGACGATCAATCCAACAACATCCCCATAGGACCAGAACCCTTCCTCCAATTAGGCCACACTCAGTGACAAAGGAAAATTCCACTTGAGATGTTCCTCCACAAATACAGGGTTGGCCAACGTATGGGTACTGACTTTTGGCCCACCCTGTATTTGTGGAGGAACATCTCAAGTGGAATTTTCCTTTGTCACTGAGTGTGGCCTAATTGGAGGAAGGGTTCTGGTCCTATGGGGATGTTGTTGGATTGATCGTCCCTTGCGAATTCGTCCGCTAGTTCTTTACCGTATGATTGTAGGACTGAATCCCTATACAGGGTGGGCCAAAGATTGTAGGACTGAATCCCTACCGGACGGAATCACTACCACCCAAATATCACTACTGGTAGTGATTCAGTCCGGTAGTGATTCAGTCCTAAAATATACCTCAATCCCTACCAGTTGATCTTAGTTCACTAGTCTAATATCATGACGTGATCTGAGCCGGTGCTCTCATGGAGTGCTTGCTATGGGGCCTTTCAGACATGTGATACACAGACTTACGTACGCAACGAGGAGCCCTAACATTATGGATGACTTTATCCGAACCAGTTCGGTTCGGATCAAGTCATCCATAATGACCTGCTATACGACAATACAGTGATGTGAACCTTCACATGCTCCGTGCTCGGTATCTCAATCAGCTAGCGGGACCACCTTAACAGAAAGAGGGAAGACAAGACCTACTGGAAGTGCAACAAGCGCAAGTCCCGCCTGATCCTTGTCCAGGACACCTTCTGTTCTGCTACCCCTCATGACCACGAATCTCAACCAGCAGAAATTGCAGCCCACCGCTCCAAGTCTAAAATGCATTATTGTGTGATTTAAATTACTGTATCAGTATATTATCTATTATTCTTTGACCAAATTTCTGCTTAGTCAATTATCACGAAAAATCTAATAATAATTAACAAAAAATAAAATAATTAACTAATGAAATACGAATAATTATGCCTTTATTGCAAAGTTCAGTAGGGATCACATCAAAGTGGTTAGGTTTAGATATTAGCGGTAGTGATTCAGTCCGGTAGTGATTCAGTCCTAAAATATACCTCAATCCCTACCAATAGTGATTGGTAGTGATTCAGTCCGTTAGGGATTCAGTCATGTAGTGATTCGGTCCGTTCACCTTACCGTATACTCCTTCATGTCCTGGAACGGAGTTCTACTCGATGAGAATACCTAGTGAGTTGAGTTGGTCTGAGATGTTCAGAACGAACCTGGAGTTAAAACTGATGCTGTTAAGGGGGCTGGGGGGGGTCTTCATCAAAATTCTCTCGAAATTGACTTTATAGTTGTTTCTGGTAGAAGGGAGTGATATCTACCAGCTGCTTTTGGTCCCATGGAAAAATATTGTTTCTAGCCGAAATTATCGCCGGTCTAAGGTCAGCGCTTATGCGTAATTGTATTGCGCGAGCGATTTTCAATCGCAAATTCTGAAAATCGAGTCTAAAAATCTATCTTCTCCTACATTTTTTGAGCAATCACCCTGAAACTCTCAGGATATGTTCTAGGGACCATTTATAAGATTCGATCGAGCCAAAATTTTGAGATAGGCCTTCAAAAATTTTTTATTTAATTTTGAAAATCTTGGACCTGAAAAAATCGTAAAAAAACGAGGTCCAAGATTTTCAAAATTGAATAAAACTTTTTTAAAGGCCTATCTCAAAATTTTGGCTCGATCGAATCTTATAAATGGTCCCTAGAACATATCCTGAGAGTTTCAGGGTGATTGCTCAAAAAATGTAGGAGAAGATAGATTTTAAGACTCGATTTTCAGAATTTGCGATTGAAAATCGCTCACGCAATACAATTACACATAAGCGCTGACCTTAGACCGGCGATAATTTCGGCTAAGAACAATATTTTTCCATGGGACCAAAAGCAGCTGGTAGATATCACTCCCTTCTACCAGAAACAACTATAAAGTCAATTTCGAGAGAATTTTGATTAAGACCCCCCCGGCCCCCTTAAGCGCTTTAAAAGCAGCCTGGGAATCTGAGAGGAATTTATAATTGATGGAGATCCTAAGTTATCATTAGTCCAGATACTTGCCATGTATAACGCAAAAAGTCATACACCAAATAAGGGCATTATATTTTATGAATCCGTTTACATCTTTTTATTCTGTAACAATGTGCTAAAATTAAATTTCTTGTTTCATTGAATTTCTTGTTTCATTGACTGGGTATGCTACCTGGTTATCTACTCAATTAACATATAACTGAATTTACCTTCAATTCGTTTTCGGTATAAAAATAAAATTATTTCGGTTCCGACAACATATCGTCGGCCCTCATTTCGACGGGACCGGTAGTGTAGCTGTTAGTCGAAAAATATGTGACCCAGGCCACTGTCAACAACTCACTTTTCAGGGAAAAGTGTACCCAAACAAGGTAGTCTATCCACTGTCCCTATTCTTCTGTTTTGGTAAAACAGTATACGACTTCAAAGGCAGTCATGTGGTCGAGATCGTGTCTAGACGCCGTCAGGTATTTTTAGTTTACTTTACTTCGTATTAATTCCTCAATATTTAGAACTGACCAATTTATTTACGAATTCATGTGTTTTATTGTGTGGATGCAAGGTCTTGTTTCCTATAGCAAAACACACTCCACAATATGGTCATCAAAGTTCCGGTTATTGTGTTTTTTTGCTGGAGGACGAATGTTAAATTCTTTCTTCGTATAATGTCATTCCACCTCAACAACTATGTGAAAATGCGAATAAGAGGTCATGTGATGTATACTTATACTTATATATTGCAATTCACCGCAGGTTGACGGTGATGGAGAATTGAGACTGAAGAAGATTCAGGGACAAGTTATACGGATCATAACAGCACTCAACCAGCTGAGTGCCAAGATCGATGTAAACACCATGCAGGTCGACAAAAACGTTAACTCCGAGGAGATCGAGATAAGAAAAAGTAGAATTATTGACACAGAATCTGGACCTGCTTGATTAATGTGAATTTTGTGAAATTATGATACCGTATTTAACTTGTAGAGATCGAGTTCGCATGTGTAATTAGATTTTTAATTTTAGTTTCTTAATAATTTTAGTTTTTGTAGAATTCACGTAAAAGTTGTAAAGTTGGATATGGAGCTGTGCCAACTGATTCCAGACTGATTTCTTTAAAGTACCTGATTCCATCTCCTGATTTTGGGACAAGAATTTGAATCTAGGACAATAAAATGATAAATCCCATTTAATCTTAAATCATGAAGTAGTGTTAAATTCTTTGAGAGACCCGAGTGATTGAAACTTTGATCAATCGTCAAATAAGCGGAATCATTTATTGAACAGCATGACACAGTACGATACCGAATGATTGACAAATGATTTATGAATGATTACGGCCAAAGCCCGTTTCTAAGAATAAAGATAAATTCTGATAACGATCAATTTTAAAGATAACGGAATTTAGGAGCTAGTTGTTTGATGATTTGAAAGTTGATTGAAAGCCGCAGACGCGGAGACAATGATATTGTATGCATGAATATCGAATTATTGTTGAGACGGGTTGCCCGAGGTTAGTACCGGAAAGCCCGAGGTTAATACCGGAAGCCCGAGATTGATGTCGGAGGATTAATTACTGAAATAAGCGTGATAATTGGACATGTTTAATGTTTAATTAAGCTGAATCAAACAGCTCTAATCAGCACAGCCTCGTATTATTTTGAGAGAGTTTTGTCACTTCAAAGAAGTTCAACAGCTAGCTCCCATTTTCCTTACTGTTAAATATGCTACAATAGTTTAAATCAGTTTCATAACGTGCTCGTTTCTCTTAGTCCCCCTTAGTCTTGTCCAAAGAAACCCTACAGCGCACAATTGGTGGAGAACCCGGGCACTGAAGTTCTACAGACTCCTGATCCCGAAGTAGATAAGAATTTGATCGATTGAAAATGGCTTCCATTGAATCACTTGAGCTGAGTACTGAAAAGAAAGCTGCCGTGGAGAACCTTATTATGCAAGCACAAAGGGAGGCTGCTGTGCAAGCTACTAACCAAGCCAAAGTTGACTTCAGAGCTGGAGTTGCTGGAGTCGCCGACCTAACTCGTTTGACCCGACCACTTCGCACATTACTTCGTATTTCGATAGCTTTGAACCTTTTCGAAGGATAATGAACCTTGAAGGTGCTGAGGCAATTAATACTTTCCTGACTTATCTGGACCAAAAGTCACTAAATGCCTTGATTGCCAATGACCTAGTTAGAAAGGACGACTGGACAGCATTTCGTAGAGATGCTATTACAGCCTTGACCTCCCCCAGTGAATCGGTCAAAGCAAGATACGAACTGAAAAAAGCTAAACAAAAACTGGATGAAACAGTGTCGGAGTTCGGAGAAAGACTTATGGACCTGGCTAAATTAGGTTACACTGCTGATGAACAAGACGCTATGCACTCCATTTTAGAAGATGCCCTGACTGGAGGATTGAACAGAGATGAAATTGCTGTTTCTTTGATAAATGAACCTGAGCTAGATTTTAAAACTGCTCTCGAAAAAGCCGTCAAGTTGGACGGAGCTTATAGGGCCAGGTCTTCGCTACGTGATGAAGATAATGTCCACGTCGCTGTTCTTAAAAATGAAGTTAGCATCGACAAGCATGAATCACTAGCCATAGGCGAAGCAGAACAGGCTAACAGACCTCACAATCATTATTCATTGGGCCTACCTCACTATACCGTCGGCCAATACGAGAGCTGCAATGGAACAGAAAATAGAACAGTGCAGCAAAACCAAGTCTATGGTATTGAACAAGGCTCAAATTATCATCCCCAGCAGTTCATTAATCAGCTGTCTTCTCACAATCCTGGCCAACCTGCTGATCCCAGATATGACCACCAACCTTATGCGGGCAACTTAAGAGGCCAAGTACAGTGCCACAAGTGCTATCAGTATGGTCACTACGCTAATGGTTGTCCTAACTACTCGGTGGTCCAAAACCAAAGACGAAACAACAGCGTCCAGTGTCACTATTGTGGAAACTATGGCCACTTTCAAAGAGATTGTCGTAAAAAGATGAGAGACGAGGGAAGTTGGAGCGCTAGTGGATTGAATGGACAGATAGGACGACCTAACTTCACATCGCCAAGATATGGTAGATCTGGCAACAGCAGACCTAGTCATTTCTCGGAACAAGGACCCATCTACAATGGACCTAACAGAGACCAAGAAGATGTTAGACCTCAAGAACCTTATCAAAGCCTAGCTTACCAGCCTGGCTACGATAATGGTTACAATAACAGAAGCTTCACCATTACAAACGCACCTGCAGCAGCACCAACCGCCAGCCATCCAGTGCACCAGCCGTACCAGAACACTGCAAGTAATCAGCATTATACTCCAAACAGCGGTCCTGTGGGTATACAGAACTCTGACCTGCTGAACCCTCGACCTCAAGCAAACTACTCGACTCCTTTCAATAATACATCTGAGGTACCACAAAACTAGGTCACCACTCCCCTGGAGGGAGGGGGAACACCTCTTCAGATTCTGTCTCTCCATCTTCACAGGTCAATTTCTGTGAAGGCCACGTTTACTTGGACTCAAATTTGTTTGGCACCACTGTAAACACCATTGTAGACACTGGCGCTAGTATGAACTCGATAAGTGAAGAGCTGGTTAGAAAGCAAGGATAATGTCCAGTACCTCTCCCGTAATTTCTTCGACCTGAAAAGATGTGAGCTATCTCTCGAAGCATCAAAGACCTTGAAAATAATGACAAAGATTCTCCTACTAAAGACTAACAAAGACTCGACCAGATTGGACGGAACCTTCAAGTAGTGGCTCTCCGATGAGGAATTACTACCCTATAAATTGTTGAGCCTGTAGTAAATGCTTGAGGGTCTACACTTCTCTGTTACTGGTAGTCGCTCACTGATCAGTCTGCGAAATCTTTCGACCTCGGTTACCCTGGATACCTGCAACATAATGCAAAAGAAACTCCTCAAACGGCTACGATGTAACAATCAACAATCAACAATCTATCAAACTAACAAAATAACATTGCAGTGAACACACTACTCCCCTCGGCAGGTTCCAGAGGCTCGACACGAGCCACGGGCCGGCCACGCTCATCAATCTCCTCGTTATCACTGTTGGTACTTCTTCTACTTATCCTGCTCTTCCCCTTGTCGGGTAGTCCCGGCTTATCGTGATTTGGAACACTGTATCAAAGCACAAAGTTCGATTGCAAAAGAAACTCGAATGCAAGTGAACTGAACAATAATTTTTAAAGACTTGAATTTACTGCCTAATGCAGCCCAAACAATGATTGACAGTTGAACCGATAATTCCACAGTTCCGACTTTGAATATATAGAATTTTACAATTTTGTCATATGATGCCCTAAGATTTTATACTGGTCCCACTTTTAATTCTCAACTTTTCAAAGACTGCAGAGAGGGATTTATTTTTAAGCTTTTCTACGGGGAAGTATTGTAGAGATCGAGTTCGCATGTGTAATTAGATTTTTAATTTTAGTTTCTTAATAATTTTAGTTTTTGTAGAATTCACGTAAAAGTTGTAAAGTTGGATATGGAGCTGTGCCAACTGATTCCAGACTGATTTCTTTAAAGTACCTGATTCCATCTCCTGATTTTGGGACAAGAATTTGAATCTAGGACAATAAAATGATAAATCCCATTTAATCTTAAATCATGAAGTAGTGTTAAATTCTTTGAGAGACCCGAGTGATTGAAACTTTGATCAATCGTCAAATAAGCGGAATCATTTATTGAACAGCATGACACAGTACGATACCGAATGATTGACAAATGATTTATGAATGATTACGGCCAAAGCCCGTTTCTAAGAATAAAGATAAATTCTGATAACGATCAATTTTAAAGATAACGGAATTTAGGAGCTAGTTGTTTGATGATTTGAAAGTTGATTGAAAGCCGCAGACGCGGAGACAATGATATTGTATGCATGAATATCGAATTATTGTTGAGACGGGTTGCCCGAGGTTAGTACCGGAAAGCCCGAGGTTAATACCGGAAGCCCGAGATTGATGTCGGAGGATTGATTACTGAAATAAGCGTGATAATTGGACATGTTTATATAAGCTGAATCAAACAGCTCTAATTAGCACAGCCTCGTATTATTTTGAGAGAGTTTTGTCACTTCAAAGAAGTTCAACAGCTAGCTCCCATTTTCCTTACTGTTAAATATGCTACAATAGTTTAAATCATTTTCATAACGTGCTCGTTTCTCTTAGTCCCCCTTAGTCTTGTCCAAAGAAACCCTACAGCGCACAAACTAACTTTTAATTATACGACGAAAAGTGCCAGGATACTGGATAATATAAAATTGACTGTAAATCGTTATTTTGGAGTTCATTACAATATTACAGGTATCTAGTATACAGTTCTTCTAACTTCTTTTTAACACGAACATTGACACCATATGGGAAAACTGTATTTAAATGTCACATACAAGCTTCTTGAACTATATGTCATTTCGTTCTTTCAATGTGGTATTATTCAAGGTAGAAGTTTAATCGGCATGATTGCCACATGTTCAGTACTATGGATTTTAGTGTATTTTTTCACATTAAAGTTGCGTTTTACTGTTTTATTTTTCAATCTCATTCTACATTATATTTTTTATCTTGAGCGTCCACGATATATATATATATATATATATATATATAGTCCAATTTTATCGTCATTATCACTTACACTATGCTCAATTAACACCTGGGTCCTGGGGCTCGTACCCCTGGTGCCAGAACCCCTGGTGCCAGGACTCCTATAAGTAGAACCCCTGGTGAAAGAACTCACCGTGTAACGACTCAATATGAGGTTGGGAGGACTCCTGGAGGTCGTACACCTGGAAGCAGAACTCCTGGACATGGACACGCTCCGACAAAGTTTGGTGGCAACGTGATTATACATGGTGGGCCAAAAGTCAGTACCCATACGTTGGGTCTTATACCTCCGCCGTCTTTTATATTTGAGATTTGTTGCTTTTCAGATGGCATACTGTACCTACTTGTTCGACTTCGAGGATTCCGTCGCCAAAATTTGAAAATTCGAATATTTTAGACCACGCCCATTCAGTATTAAAACACCTATATTGTTCTCTCTGAACATGTTGGACGCCTAATTTTTTCTGAGACGGTAGATTATTATATTTTGCATCTGATCTGAAAAAACGGATTAGAAATGACGAAGTTATCAAGCGATTTGTGTATCTCTTTAGCAAAATTGATTGGGTGATTTAATCATGTGACACCGTGACACGACACCTTAATTGGGCAGCCTTAACGATTCCCATAATGTTTAACGGGGTAATTAACGGGGTCACCTTATCAATATCACGTGATTAGGTAAGCCAATCACCTGATCACACGTAATGAATAAACTTGTTATGCTTCGTATCTCGGTCATCTGAGAAGCTATAAGTATAACTTTAATTTTTTCAGGACAAACGTTATTCGAATGGCCAAACACAATTCAATAAAATGTAGCCCGATCCGACTATCCAAATTATCAAATAAATGCGAAAATGAATCTTCATTTGAAAAAAATGAAGATGAATATTTTTCGAGTTGACAAATATTTCCTCTAACCAGCTAGTGGTGGTATTAAGTTATACAAAAAAGAATTATTTCAATTGGCCACTCAGTGACTGAGCTATAATGCCTAATGGCCAACGTATGGGTACTGACTTTTGGCCCACCCTGTATAATACCTTGATTTACGGTGTCAACCCATCGAGATCGTTGCTCTGCGAAGCAGAGCAACGATCGACGATGGGTTGATGCGAAGCAAGAATGCTAGTTTGCGCGGCGCAGCGCGTCGAAGCGGCGAAGTCCTCCAATATAATACTTAAAATGTTTTAATCACGTTGAATTCGCAGCACGACCTACTCTTTACTTGACCTCTGACGTTTTTATATATTTCCTAAATTCAATGTTTGATGTTCAATTTTTCATTGACATACGTTGCATGCCACTTTTCGCTTTTCGCTTTTCGCTTTTCGCGCGCCGCCGATACGAAACATGTATCAAATTTTTCAACATGTAAAAAATATTTCAAGATCATATCAAGACACACACTTTTAAAGACAGTCTGTTAATGAAACTTTGTCGGAGTCATCCCACATCCATGCAGCAAAACGTTTTGCTAAATAACGGGTTTATAGTTTTAATTTTTTTTTGTGATTACCAGGAAACCTTACCGTTAGGGGCCTAACTTCAAAAGTAAAAAAGATACGATAGAAACGTTTGGTTTTCAACAAAATGTTCGCCTTGTAAAAATAACGTTTCCTCTCCAGGAGGAAAATTCAAAACAATGTAGATTTTGAATTATCGCGAAAAGTCATATTTTAGAACTTATAAAACTGCGCAGCTTTAACTTTGCGGATTTTGTTCTCTGATTGGCTGAATCGTATCACGTGGTACGTGGTACAATTGCATTCTTGGAATAATTGAAGCGTGCAAATGCTATTCGAACTAACGAGCGCGCGTGGAGTTCAACAAGCTGTGAAGAGGCGATCACCCTGTAGTAATATTGCCAGTCGGTAAGGTCTGCTGGGTATAATTATAAACAAGTTTATCCTATTTTCATGAATGCGCGGCTTTGGCGGCCAGTTATTGACTAATTCACCAGGTAGCCATGTGTATACGCGTACTGCGTGACGCGCTTGTTTCACAAGTAGAATATAATTCGGCGGTCGCGCGCTACTGCAAGCGAGAGGGCTCTGGTTAGAGCAAATTAACAAATACATAAAATTGAATTTTAAATAGAAATGTGGATATGTATATGTATACGCTGCAATATTGCCGGCTGTTCGGGAGGCTGACAACGCAGGGTGCCATGCCTGTGGAAAATGCTATGTTTGTAAGCAAAGTTTCCTGTCCCCTTGTTCCAAATTTAGTAGTCACCATTCCAAACAAGTTTTCCCTATTACTAAATATATAACTTGTCAGAGTAATAACCTTATTTATTTAATGGAGTGTAGAACTTGTAAACAGTCGTATGTAGGATATACTAATTCTAATCTCCCTAAGAGATTTTCTAATCATAAGAGCCACATTAAGAAAGGTATCAGGAGTTGTAAGTTAGTAAATCACTTTTTAGATATTGATCATGATTTAGATTTTAGTTCAGTAGCCTTATATAACTCTTCACTTAGTACGCACCTTTCTGTTATTATAGTGGACGCTCTAGAATTTAAACCTGAAATAAGTAAAGCAGATAGGGAAAAGGCCATGGAAGCTAGAGAGGGGTTCTACCAGACCCAATTGAAAACCCTTGAGCGTTATGGGGGTATGAACACCCTCGATAGTAACCACATCCTTTTTAAATCCGCTGGAGCTTAGTGTTTAGTTATTTATTTTATTTAACATGATCTTAGCCTATAAACCCGTGTTTAGTTTACAATATTGCTATCAGAGACGTGTTATATTCATCACTATTTTAATATTTTTACTGCTTGATTCAGAGAAATCTAGCTTTTTCCGAGAAACTAATCTTTAATAGATTAGATAAAATGTACTCAGCCATTCTTTTTGTTTGATTATTACTCAGAATTTTTTAGTTTTGTACCGTTTTGAGTCACATAGTTTTGTACGTCTTCCTAAGACTTGTTTTCCTTTCCTAGTTTGTAAGTTATTTTAAAGATTTGTGTATATTCCAGTTGCTTTTAGAACAATTTTATCTCAGATAACGATGTTTAATAAAATGATGCAAAGAACTATTTCGAAGATCTAATCAACACCGACTTTTAATGTGTAGGAGTACAGCAACGAAATATATATATATATATATATTAAAATTTAAAACTTTCAAAACGGGGGCATTGATTGAAATGGCATATGAATATTATTATATTATGATTGTAAAATAAAGGATAAAATTTTAAATTTGTTTCACAAAATTTGTTTCACAATGAGAATGGTCCAGTTATGAGTTATCATAGAGAATCATGAAATAGAACAAGGGCTGTTTAAGATATTCGTTTAGGGAAAAGGCACATCGTAGAAAACATGGACAAAACTGATCAGAACTTCCATGATGAAACAAACAAACTGTACTCAAATCAAATAAAATCATAACATAATGAAACATTGGATCACTCAGATATAAAAAGGACGGATTCTCCTGAGATGCTCATACACATTATGATTACTGACCAGTGTCTAGAGAACATGAATATCTTCTTATCATGGCTACAGACCTTTCTGAAAAATGTTGCTTTCCTTGTTCAGGTCTCTTGTTTTTAAGGTCAGTGACCAGATGCTTACAATCTTTACTGGATCTATCAGGACAGATCCATACATTTTTTTGGTCCTCAACCAACCTCAATCTCAATGTTTTGATCAGAATCTGATGAACTGTTGTTTAGCTCAGTACGATGATCTTGCTTCTTCCAGCCAACTCTTGTTGCTTCGAAATGAGGTCTCTCCCCAATCTCCTTCAAAACTGCAGTTACCAAACCTGTTTACCAAAGCTGGTTACAAAGCTGTTTTTCCTCTTCTTCTTGTACAGCCCAACACAAAATCAGGTTCCTGCTTCTGTCGTCATCTGCATCTACACTCTTTTACCTTCTTTAACGTCGTATAGCTGTAGACCGTACTACACATTGAATTAGGATTCCTTTAAATATCAAATTGATTTATTGTAAACTTGTTTATTCTGTAATAAATGGCATAGAATTGAAATTTTTGTTTAACTGAAATTTTTGTTTAACTGTAACACTCTGCTCTGTTCTTTTATAAAAATACACTTTAGCTCTTAATCCCTGACTCCGCCGTTGTTTGTACTGTCGTCTCAACCATAGCATTAATTAACTTTAAAGTTGTTTGTCCTTGTGCACTAGCAGCTCGCCCTCAAGCCGATCAATTTTACCTTGTCTAGTAAAGCTCTTCCATTTTGAAGCACTCCATGGTCTTTATCATGATGCTCATTTGCCTCTATCCCAGGCGTACATGTTCAGTCCTTTTCTCAAATGATTGCACCACCTTTCAACACAGCCTTTTACATCTTCATGTACATTAGGATCGAAATTCTGAATTTTCTCCTGGGATTGGGTCAGATTCAGTTCATCCTCTAATACATCAGATGACTCATCTTGACTCATCTTGACTCATCTTGACACAATTTTAAAATTATAATTTAATTATTTTATATATATGTATTGTCCATAACTAGGGTGGCCTGCTAACAGAACCATGATCTGCCTTGATTCATCCTTCAGCACAGAGAAAAGCTCCTTTTTTTATACATTATGATTACAGAGGATCTGATATTTAGATATATATTGCTGTGCTGTAAAAATTGACTTTATTTATTTATTTATTTATTTATCTTTCATTTATCATAGTTTACTTCTATAATTATGTATACGCCGTGGCGTACACACTCAGATGCTATCTACATGGTAGCAGCAAACTAACCAATAAACTAACTGATCATAAACAAAAGTTGTCAGGTTCACACATTATATATGCTGCTCACCTTGGATATATATCTAACATTAGTACACAGTACACACCCTTTTAACACATTCTCATTCAACATCATTCCTCAATCCTTAGGAGTGGAGCTTTGAAGATTCCTGAATTAGGTCATATGTAAATTTACAAGATGATTCATTGTTACATATAATACATTTATGGATTCCCTAGTTGAGGGACTCCCAACCCACCACTTCAGTGGGTAGTTAATTCACCTCGTGCAAGCAAAATGTATACTTGTGAGGTGTTTGGCCTAGTTTAGCAAATGTACCCTCTAGATTAGATAACATGGTTCCTACTAATAATATCATTCATAGAAAATTTCATATTTTTAATAATGTTTCATAGAAAATCAGTGCCAATTTTGCGCAATGACCATGTCTTAAAATTGTGCCGAATAATATTTGCTAATATGCTTCAGTCATGAGCTATGATGGAATCAGTAACTCTCACCATTCACTTCAAGAACAGGGTCAGACTCTTCTACCCAAAACATCTTCCTGGTCTTCAACTTACCATGTAAGTTACTTTTTTATCATAATGTTTAGTATCTGTAATAATATTCATGCGTTAGATGTGACAATCTGAATATATATATTGTATGCCCTCTAAGAAACTGATTCTGAAGACTCCATTTATGGACATTTGATCACTCATCAATCAACAACTTGACATGGAATAATTATCTATAGTTAGATCATACTTCATTAAGCTTGTTTTTTAATTACTCGGTTATACAATGCAGGGCAATACAGAAAACGTTTGATTTGGGAAGTGACGACGAAGTGGAATTAGTAGACAGAATATCAAGTGAGAGACTGAGCCTATCTCAACTACACAGCTTGCCTCCTAACACCCACATTGTGTCTACACTCATACTGAAACACAATGTTAGTAACCTTTACAATTAATTAGTTTGAGTTTGATTAGTAGTTTGATTTGATAAATATTTAGTTATGAGGTTTATTGGATCGTTTCTAATTCTAATCATTAATTCTTTTGCTTTCGATTTCAAAAAAGTTAGAAGAAGCAGCAATAAAAATGCTGCCCCCTAACTCTGATAAGGCCTACTTGCCCAATGATTCTTACACTTTTAAATTGTATATCAAAACTTTTCTGATGTAATTTCTGCGGAAGTTGTGAAAATTTCAATGCATTGCAATGCTTCAAATACAGCAGACTTTATCTCACCGTGACACCTCTCACCGTGACACCTCTCACCGTGACACCTCTCACCGTGACACCTCTCACCGTGACACCTCTCACCTTGACACCTCTCATCGTGACACCTCCAAAATGATCCGGGGTTTTGTACCAGACTCATCAAAAACGTTACCATTGCATAGTAATATAACACAGTCTCATGAATATAATGTTACCATGGTAATGTAGTTAGTGACTAATTGGCCGGTTTATTCTCACTTCGCCTCTCCAATTCCCAATGGCTCATGTTACCACAGCAACCCTGCTAATTATCTTCCTCAATTACCCTCCCCCATATAATAATGAGGTGCCGCCTCATTTCTCTTTCTTAGTACAGTGCTGTGTATATATCAGTACAGTGTAGTAGTAGTTCACTACCTTGTGTGTGTGTACTCTGTCTTTAGTTTCTACTTATAATGAGGTTCCAGTTTTACAACAGGCATTCTCTTGTAAGTCCACATTTTCTTTTTAAACTTGTGAAATTATTGCTGTGAATTAAAAATGTTGTCCTTCTTCACTGCTAATAGAAACTACACTTTCATACCCCCTGTTTCACAACATTTTATTCCTGATGTATTAAACACAAGAGATTATTCGTTACGTTTAACTCGAATACCTCATAATACACACACGGGACTGGGAGACGGGTATCTGGTTAAAATGTTGCAGGGTATAATAATATCATCCCTTCTAACATTTAATGTTATGGTACCGGTGTAAAAGCAACCCTGCACCTGACTCTCGTTCTCCACGGAATATTATGATAACTTTCTGGGCAGAGTATGTAAGGCATAAGATAGGGTATATAATAGGATTTATAAGCGTGTAGTCATAGCACTGTGTTGTATAACGTTATTTTAATTGTAAATATGTCCCTGACGATTGTCGTTTATACATCCACATGAAACTTTTAGTTGGACAATAACATCATTTACTTTGTTACGCTAACAGGATTTATAAATCCTGTTAATATATAAATATATTAACACTCTTTTTCCCCACAGATAGAGACGAACAAGAACATGTGTAACAAAAGAAACACTCTCCTATCTCAAGAGAAGACTGTTGTTGTACACAAGCAGAATAACACCCTGGGTTTTAAAGTGCAGTATTTCTTTGCTCCCTCTCAGACAAACCTTGCTGTGAGTTCCCATTATGTCACGTGACTTACTTGTAACTTTAATTTACCTCACCTTACCTTATCTTATCCTTCTGTAGCTGTGATGTAACTGTACTTTTACTTTCTGATAAAGATATCTCAACTTTCTAAAATATTCCTTTTAGTATTTATACACTTGAAATAATGTGACTGAACTGTAATAATTTAAAATGACCACGTACAGAAAGCCAATATAACAACAATTACAAGTTGCGTAAGCAACTTGGTAAGGGTATTAGGGTGTATTATAGCGCACTTAGCTTGTCTTTGTAAGCTAACTATTGTAAGAAGTGTGTATTGTAACGTTTAGGGTGTGTGTTGGTGTGTAACATTGTAATGCTCTGACACAGCCACAAATGTGATAGTTCCGTGTGACATTATGAGAGTGTTATGTGTGTCAAACCGTACCTGCCCTTCAGTAACCATGGTAGTAACCATGGTAGTAACCGTGCTAGTCATGGTTATCCGTACCCTATATTCTCATATTTATTGGTTAGAATAAAGTAAGTTATGACAACTCTGAGTCAAATCTAATAATCTCACACCGTTATACTAATCAATATTATGTTATCATGTAATATTTTGTAATATAATTATAGTTACAAATCTATCCTGTAAAGTAAAATTTCATTTAGATAATTAGTAAGTAGTGCAATGGAAGGTAGCCGGGGGGGGGGGGGGGGCCGGGGGGAGAAGGGGGTGTGTTAAGGGGGCCGGGAGGTAGGTAGCCGGTGTGTTAAACTGTTTAGATGTTTGTTAAATGGTCCCCATCTTATTGGGGGGGGGGGGGGGGGGAGGGAGAAGGGGGTGTGTTAAACTGTTTAGATGTTTGTTAAATGGTCCCCATCTTATTGGGGGGGGGGGGGGAGGGAGAAGGGGGTGTGTTAAACTGTTTAGATGTTTGTTAAATGGTCCCCATCTTATTGGGGGGGGGGGGGGGGGGGAGGGAGAAGGGGGTGTGTTAAACTGTTTAGATGTTTGTTAAATGGTCCCCATCTTATTGTGTTACTTGAAACACATCAGACACACAACTATCTAGAGCTGGAAATTTGCCAAGAGTAATGAGCTTTAAAGAGCAATTCGTATACTGATAATATTATCTGCTATATTCATACACTGATAAATGATAATATTATCTGTTACATTCGTAAATAAACATTGGTAATATTATCCGCTATAGTTATATTTTACTTAACAGTTTACTGTTGTCTTCTCGTAATCTACGACTAAGATAAGTAGGTACCTGTTGCATTTGCTCGTTTCGTTGTATCAACCGGGGGATCATACACTTAGTACTGTACGTGACGTTGGGGTGGTGGGTCATATTTTCTTCCAAAACACAGTTAGTACTTTTGTACTAAGTGGTGGGTCTTCTGCTCATTTTCCAGAAAAACAGTTAGTACAAAATTACACTTAGTCGACGTCACTTACCGAACTTAGTACCTGATCTCCCACCCCCTCCCGGAATTTTCTCGGAAATTGATAAGATATTTCGCGAAACTAGGTTAGTGTTTATAATATTTTCCGGGAATTATTTACCCGAAAAGTCGAGTCATCTCAGACTGGCTGGCGAGAAGTTTCAAAACAAATAACAGTTGCGCACTATATATTACACACTATATTGTATTATGCGCACGTATCACATTACACATCTTCCAATCAAAATCAGAAAAACTTATTGTATTTTACTAGTGTAGTAGTGTAGTATGCAGAATAGAGGTACTATTATACGAGCGTTATATTATAGCAGTATTTATATTAGTTTGTAATAGTTTGTACTAGTTTCCAAATGACAAACGTGTACGTGTCTAACCTCTAACCTAACTATGGTGCTAAAAAGTGACTAGATAATATGAACGGAATGTGCTAACTGCTAAGCGACAATTGTTGGCTCTAATAAACTAATTACTTAGTTACTGTTATTACTGGATATTGTTGTCTGTTCGTGTGTCCGTTTAGTTGGAATGTTTAGATGGAATGGCAGTTTAACTGTATGTGTGTACATATAAAGTGACTTCTAAATATGTATGTGTTACTTTGTTAAGAGACTACTAACTCTACTGATTTCTTATAAACAGCAACATGTTGAGATTCCCGTTATTATATCAAATACTCCTTTAGAATATTGACAGACCGTATTTACTGACTCACACATTTCCAACAACTAATAATCAGTCTCTTCTGTAGATTATCAAGCTCATTTTGTTGGACTGACCTGATATAACAGCAACTCCTTGGCTTTGTTTAGTAAATGTGAACTGTGATGTATCACTGGATTGGTACATTATATTGCTATATTGGATAGTTTGAAGCTCTGCCAATTTACCCAGAAGAGGCGTGTTCCAATAATATTTTCTATTTTCAGCTGAGAATTAATTAAAATAGCTCTCATTGTATCATGACATAGGTCTGATAGTGTTGCTATGGCAACGGTAACCATGGTAACCAATGACAGATTTACTAAAAATAAGAAGTAACTAAAAAGTAACCACAGTTTATAGGATGTTACTTGTTAGTCCGGAATGGCATGGTTACCTGGCCGGAATTTGTTTAATATATTTTAATTTGAGACCTGTTTGTAAAGTGGAATGTGTATGGACCGTACACGTTGTCCTATGCTTATTGGATGATAGATGTGTCAGTTTCCATGGTAACCTATGAAACGTTTTCATCTAGTAACCTCGCATTGTACCTAATCATATTATTAAAAATATTTAATAAATGCAGCCGCCGCACTCTCAATGTAACACCATTGAATTTAACACTACTGAATAACACTGTAGTGTAATGTTGTGTACAGTTTACTTCTAATGATACTGAAACTGCTGTATTAGGTTAAATTTGTGGTTTCAGCCCCTTTTTGTGGCTTAATGTACTCACGTTGCGTTTCAACCATCTCTTGATAAACTACAGTACTAAAATTAAGACGAGAAATATGAAAATAAAATATGATAATAAAATGATGAATTCGTGAAAAAGGCCAAAAGGCTGTGCTGTCAAAAATTTGTCCTGGTTCCTTCTCCTGTATGATGAGGTATCTAAGTATAGTTTTGAAGTAAGAAGTGTCACGCTCGCTTCATGTTATCAATTATAACGGATACTTCAGAGATATTTGCTAATTTCTACATACCATACATACTATAATTGTACACAATATGTTCTCAATTGTTCTCTTTAATCAACTCAGTACAGATCTGCTCTCTGACAAAACATTTGTTCCCCGCCATGACAGCTGTAATCAAGTTAATCAGTGTGCCAGTTTTAGAACGTTTAAACTGCGTTCATTTCCGGATCAATTAGTTTAATGTCCACCTATTTACAATGAAAAGATAAGTTCGTTTAGCGTGAGACGAGGGGAAATCATTGACCTTATCCAACTGAACAAATCATTGTTGAAGAGAAATGTAGTGCTGAGTCGAGTCATTAGAAGTATTCGGCGAATGACAGATTGGGTTCGGACAAATTGTTCTCAAACACAGCGAACTAAACTTTTAACGTTAACAAGATACGATAACATTTTATTGTATCTGAGAAGTAAGCTAGTAAGTAGTGGGGCCCTTATGGCGACCTTGTAACAACCAGCCAGCAAGTAGAGTAGTAGCCAGCTAGCTAGTAGCCAGCTAGCTAGTAGCCAGCTAGCTAGTAGCCAGCTAGCTAGTAGCCAGCTAATAGCCAGGTAGTAACCAGCTAGCTAGTAGCCAGCTAGCTAGTAGCCAGCTAGTAGCCAGCTAGTAGCCAGCTAATAGCCAGCTAGCTAGTAGCCAGCCAGCTAGTAGCCAGCTAGTAGCCAGCTAGTAGCCAGCTAGCTAGTAGCCAGCTAGCTAGTAGCCAGCTAGTAGCCAGCTAGTAGCCAGCTAATAGCCAGCTAGCTAGTAGCCAGCTAGCTAGTAGCCAGCTAGTAGCCAGCTAGTAGCCAGCTAATAGCCAGCTAGCTAGTAGCCAGCCAGCTAGTAGCCAGCTAGTAGCCAGCCAGCTAGTAGCCAGCTAGTAGCCAGCTAGTAGCCAGCTAGCTAGTAGCCAGCTAGCTAGTAGCCAGCCAGCTAGTAGCCAGCTAGTAGCCAGCTAGTAGCCAGCTAGCTAGTAGCCAGCTAGCTAGTAGCCAGCTAGTAGCCAGCCAGCTAGTAGCCAGCTAGCTAGTAGCCAGCCAGCTAGTAGCCAGCTAGCTAGTAGCCAGCTAGCTAGTAGCCAGCTAGCTAGCAGCCAGCCAGCTAGTAGCCAGCTAGCTAGTAGCCAGCTAGTAGCCAGCTAATAGCCAGCTAGTAGCCAGCTAGCAGTAGGCCCTGTACTCTACATATCTCCCCTGACAAGTACTCAAATAGTAAGTAGTTTGTTAAATCTCAGGGGAGTTAACTGTCACATCTGATCATTATCTTATCTTCTTTGTGAGCTGTTACCCAACACATACCTCGCATACCGGACATATCTTATGTGAATAATATCTTACTTCTCGGTGCACTGTGCTAGTGCAATTTAGGCGATCTAAAACTTGTTTGTGTTTAATGCAAGTATGTTGCGTGCAAAGTAGAAGGAGTTAACCCATAGTACTATAATATAATATATAGTACTATTCCATCACAGCCATAATATTATTTATTCCACACTCAACACATATCGGTGGGCATAATACTATGTACATGCTCTGAGTCAACTACATGTCAGCTATCAAGTTTCACTTTATTTAACACTAAGGAGTAGAATTTGTGTTGTGTTCACAAACTCTACCTTTATATTATTCTAGTATTATTTTAAATACTTTCTTTCAACTTCATAGCATGTTCCACACTTTGTATATCTAAGAGAACTTCAGGGAACTCTAAGTAAGGCGGCTGACAACAGTTTATACTCTATTATAATAATAAGTGTGTTGTTGATATCAAAGAAGAGTTCCGAAAATAGGATAATAAAATACAACGCCCATAACAGAGACTAATCTTTCCCTAAAATAAAAAGTACCGTCAAATCATCACTCTAATTTCTGTCAATATCTCCTGTTGTATGCTTTAATTTCTTCATGTTGGTGTATAACAATGATAAGTCCATATAATTATATATATAAACGTATGATTTGCAGTAAAATTTATCCGAGCCTAAATTAAGACGTATGTAAACTACTAGATTAAAGTGAAGGTGCGTTAACACGCACACACACGCGGACACACACGCTCACACGTGGTTTGATGAGGCTTTAATGTTTATATGATAAGGTGATAAGCTCTTATCACCTTATCATATAAACATTAAACATCATGTTTTATTATAGATCACCACAGAGGATATTCATTTGTGAGCCTATAAGAGAACTAGATTTGGGCGTAGACCTAACCAAAATTTGAAGAACTTTCTGACGGTTTATTGTTTCGCACTCTTTCGTACTGTGCTATTTCTGTATTAAACATTGACACTAAGCAGCTGTTGCTGCCGTATTGAATATCGATTGGAAGTTTGCCAAGAATTTCTTCCAATATTAGTAAAGCAGAGCTGTACAAAGGTTTACATAGGTTTAAAGTTTAAACAGGTTAACACTTAACAGTTTGTGGGAATAGTTCAAATAGTAACGACATTTAAAATTAATTAACAATTATAAATTAACAATTGTTTCAGAGTCCGTATCACAAGATGGCTACAATATTTGTGAAGCAACTGGACGCTAACGGACCTGCAGCAAAAGCTGGCCTCAAACAAGGTTTCTTTACGTAACAAGTTACAAAACTTCCGTTTAATTTGAAGATTACATTGTAGATTAGATTGTATTGTGTGTTTCATATCATGTTACCATGTTTCATCCGCACTGTGAAGTTAATCTAATTGAATAGTCTGAGAACAAATGTGTTAAAAGAGTAGTGGTACTGCACACTGTTCAGGAAACTTGATTAGTGACACTCTTGGGTGGGGTGTGGAACAGTCTAGAATATCAAATAACATTCTAATAACATTTTATGGGCTCTGAAATCAGTAGTGGTTACGTTACCATTACATTGACTAAGCTGACATGACATCACTTCACTGCTTACTACTTACAGGTGACAGAATTCTGAAGGTTAATGGAGTCAGCGTGTTTACGAAGAGTCTGGAAGATGTTGTTACGATGATGAAGAAAAGGTGCGTTCCAAGGCAGATTGTATTGCACAATTAATTGGTCTCTGGATCAAATGCATGATGTGTAAGATTTCTGCAGCTGAACATCTCAGAATTTCTGGAAGGCGCGACAAACATCTTTGTATTGCTCTACAATTGTAGCGCGCACTTAGTGCATTGCGCGCGTCGGGTATTGACGCCGCGCACGCGTGAGATCCATGCCGCCATAATATAAACATCTCAATCGATGCAACCACTCGCATTAAAACTGATAAACCACACATATAAAACAATATATTTAACTCAATTTACAGGGAAGATTATGTGGTGTTAACTACAGTACCCTGGTACAAGGATTTCCTCCAAGTCGAATATCCTAGTTACGCTTACAGCGAGCCAGAATCAGACACATCCAACACGTCACTGGATAGGTTAGACTTCTTACTCCCTTCAATTTAACTTGAGTCTGTGTCTAGTCAGTAATTATCACAATTAATTAACGATGATTAACATCCTGCCCCTCAGGTTCTCTCCAGTCCGTACTCCTCCGGCAGGGTCTGACAGAAAGTACAACTCTCTAACCAGAAACTACTCTGGTAACCATAGCAACATCAGTTCTCATAGTAACAGTGGTAGCCATGCTACTAGTCCAAGCAGGAGATCAGGTACCCACAGTCCCAAGTGCACAAGAACACCAGAAGACGCACCAATCAAGCCTCCACGTCCTAGCTACGTGTTACGGAGAAATGAGAGGGAACAACCTATAGTAGAGCGAGATTTTGGGGGTAGTTTGGATGCTGCAACCATTCCAAAATCTCCTAGTGCAGTTGCTACTCCACGTGCAGCTAACAAGAGATTGTCTCACAGTACAGATGATAAACGCAAGAGATTTGGTACCGTGCACTATTTTGACGATTTCCAGCTCCCTGAGAAACCATCAAGCTCAGGAGCAAGTTCCAAGGTTAGCTGTTACAATGTTAACTCTCGTAATTCACAATATCAGGAGATACGGTACGTCAATATGTGATAATTAAATTTATGATTCACGTTATTTTAGGGGATATATAAGGCGGGAAGTAAATTTGCATGCATTGCATCACATTACGGGCCAGTTCTTCATATTTACTGCTAGTATTTTCATAATGTCACACTAAAAGCAACACTGCTGGTTTGCCTTGTTTTAGTCACGTCCCGATACTGCAACGTTTCTCTTGATTTGTCAGAATATTCATCTTGTACCCAATAGTGAGACAGTTACACAGTACACACGAGAAACTTACCTATAGTCTATACTATATGTAATTTATACTTGTACTGTACACCGGATAGGGTGGTGTTGGACTTATTTCCTCTGTTTATGTTAAAGTTTAAAACGTGTGCACCCTCTAGAACACCTTAACCACGAGTATAAGTAGTATGGGAAATGTTCACATAGCAAAGTGTGCGGTACTAAATAGCACGTGTAATACTAGCTATCACGTGCAATACTAGCTAACACGTGCTGTACTAAATATCACGTGCAATACTAGCTAACACGTGCTGCACTGAATATCACGTGTAATACTAGCTAACACGTGCTGCACTGAATATCAAGTATAATACTAAGTAACACGTGCTGCACTGAATATCACGTGCAATACTAAGTAACACGTGCTATTCTAAATATCACGTGCTAAGTAAGGGATGTGGTGTAAATTTCAAAGTGGGTTATCTTTTTAGTGTTCTTGATAATAATTTTTGCTTTCCCCCTTAAAAATATCGGTTGTACAAATAAATGATTCTCTTTTAAGTTGCTAGGTTACTAACACAGGTTACTAACACAGGTTACTAAGACATGTTACTAATACAGGTTGAACAATTGCAGGAGATGGATCCCCTATGTGAGGCCCTGATATCTCAGTCTAAGATCTCACCCAGTGATCTCCAGAGGCTCACTTCTGACTGTAACATGGAGGGATATCTCGATTGTAAGATACTGGATGAGAACTCTAAGGTTAGTTTCAGCAGCATTATTTGATCGGTTCATTGAAAGGGTTTTCTGTTAGTTCTGGATCTTCTGAAGGCAACTTGTCTTTCTGAAAGGGACTATTTATAATCGTGGTCCATGTCTTGACGGAGCTATTTATCAGATATTCAAGTTACAAGTAGCACAGCTAGAGATGCTGATGTGTGAGGTTAAATACTGTTACTGTATACACGGAGTAAATAAATACTGTTAAATACTGTTAAAAACATATAAATAACCATGTTTTGTTACTGATATTGTGAACTGATTAGATCTCGTCTGAAGAACACACTGACAATCAACAATAGTGTTTACAATTAATTCTGATAAAGTTGTTAGAAGTTGATTCTGAGCAGTTCAATGTTACAATTGCAGACGTTGATTTTTAACGATTGAGCAGTGATCTAGTAACTAATGTTACAACTTTAGTTACCAAGTTAGCAGGTTACTAAGCAAATAAACAGGTTACTAAGTAACTAAACCCCTCTCAGAGACACACACTGCGCGGCTGGAGTAAACACTTCACTACTCTCCACACCTCTGAACTGTGTCTGTATAAGAACTACAACGACTATGTGGAGAAGAGGGATAAGCCGGAGGAGGGACCTGTAGATATCAGTAACTGTCTCGTTAGTATCGAGTACCGGCTCAAGAAACCTGTCTTTAGACTGACCTGTCAAAACGGAAAGGAGTATCTCTTCAAGGTGGGTTCAGAACTACACCAGTCATTTCAACTGGTCCTAAGTTAACAGTTTCGCTGTTTTATTACCATGTCTCTGATATTTCTGCTACCTCTGCAATCTGCTAGTTACTAATTATTAATAATCTGCTAGTTACTAAGTTAGTAACTCACTTAATCTCTACAGGCTGACTCTAACGATGACATGTTGGAATGGATAGGAGTTATCCAGAAACTGAACGACAACCAGTCCCTCTGTAACAGTCTGATAAAGAGAAAAGCAGACGAGCTACTAAAGTCAGATAACAAGTCTGATAACAGTGAGGAGGTTGGGAAGAGGACCGGAAAAGGAGCTGGAGGGAAGATAAAAGAGTACAAACTGGAGGCAGAATTCGCAGTCAACTCTCAATATGGTTTGTGGGTTTTATATAATACATTCTAAACTTGTTGTAGCCTTAACTGATCTGTAAGATAGTGTTATCCAGTGCCGAAATCTCAGGAAATCTCCCCAGTAGAAGGGTTTAGCTCCAGAGCAACAAAACTCACCTGACATCCTGGAATTATGAAATTACTCTTCATATTTGTCCTTGTCCGGGGTTTGTTAACCCTGAACAATAGTTCAAAGCTCCAGTGATTTTGTCTACATTGTCACATCACAATAATCAGTTATTTCTTATATTACACAATACAGTATTGTTCACTCTAACACCGGAGAGAGAGGCGTGTGAACAATGAACAATGAACAGTAAAGTTGACAATGAACTGAGGGGAAATTGTACAGTAACTTTGCGAATGAGGGGGGCGGGGGGGGGGGAGGGGGGTTGTTTCACAGATCTGGAGAAACGCTGTAATCTTCTAATTAAAATATAGTGCTAGTAAGTCGTAAGATCAAGATGGATAATGAACTATACCGTTATTTTCTCCTAACTTTTAAACAGAGGTCCAACTCAAGCTGTGTAAAAGAAGCTGTGTTGCTAAGTAATCAGTAAACTTATTAGTCAGGGTAATAAGATTATCTCTCACACAACTTCCCCAAGACCTCCCTCTCACTTACAGAGTTACAGACCCATCACCTCACATCTCACCAGTCGTAATCATCTTTATTTTACTTAACTTATTGAACTGTGCAATCCTGAGCGCGCTGTGAACGGTCTGCCGTGCTAGTCGTTCTTTAATTATGGGAAGGGCGGGATTTGAGGAATTATATTATCTTACTTTGAGATTTAGAATAGGACAGAATCCCATTTATAATTGTTTGAACTGTAACTGATATTTATTTCATATTTTATTTTCCCGATATCACTTCTCCATGTAAGTTTATATTTTCTATCCTAACACTAAGCTCTACCAATGTACCAGCTATTACACGTGCAGTATTACACGTGCAGTATTACACGTGCAGTTTCCCTCAGGGTTCACTTGGCAAGCTTGTAACACTTGTGCGGTACTGTTAACAAGCAATTGGTTATATGATTAGGTAATCACAGTGCCTGCAGGGTGTCATTGTCTTGAAACGTTATTCCTTTTACTTCTGATGAGGTTGTTTTAGTAGTTCAGTTGTTTCAGTGTTGCTTGCTAGCTAGCTAGCTGAACCAGGTCTCTCCCTCCATTATAGTGTTGTAAAACGTTCATATTATGAGTGTGAGAAATATTATCTCCAGTGATTGAGATGAGTGACGTTACTTGTGATGGTGACCCCCCCCCCCCCCCCTGTGAGGGTGACACTCACACACGCCCCGTATACCAAGGATCTGACTTATCGAGTGACGTGTAAAGTTACATAATACAGGTCTGATTAATAAGGTTCCTGTGCCTCATCTAGAGTTTGCTGTTTGTGTTATAATATATAACGGCTAGATGTGGATTCTGTGCCCGATCTCGGTACCTGATTTCTCAGTTCTATTACTTGGTCCTCCTCGCTGATATAAATTATAAACCTTATCTTAAATCAAAAAGTTATTTCTCCCCACGAGAGTCGTATCACAAATTAGTTTATAAGCTGTTCTGTAAAACGATAAAATGATTTGTAAATTGTACGCTGATAAGATGATTTGTTGTACAAAGAGAGACAGTTCGCTGCTTTATAAAATTATTTCCTGTACCAAGAGTTAGATTTAATTACCGGTTTGACGTGTGCAGTGTTTCCAAACAAATTATACTCCAGTTTAAATATCAGATACTATCTTCTGTCAGATAACACGCACTCTTATTTCATTTTAAATGGGGTTATTTTTATTTTCAGTCTTGTATTGCAACCAGTTCCAGCATGGCTTAGTTCACTTCCTGAGATTGTTTAGTTGTGACCATATTTGGGCATAACGCTTGCCTCAAGAACTCCCGTTGGTTTCGAATGGTGGAGGGTAGACATGGCACATATTGTTACCTGAAATAATATGGCCACTTTTTCAGTTGTCAGATTCTCTGACAGAAGCAGTTCAGACTTGCTAATTTCCCTTATAAAGAAGTGGTTTGGTTGGGCGTGTCTAAGTTTGTTTTGCTCTCTTCCGGATTGTCAGTATATATTCCTGAAAGATAAATGTCTGATATCTTTCCTTATTCTCACATTCCCTGGTAGTATCAACTTTTTCTTGTGTTCTCCAACAGCTGTGAATGATACAAAGATTGTTAGCGGCCAGCGGTTTAAATTCTGTGAGTGTTATTAATACTGAACAATGAGCATGCTTATAGTTAACCAAAAATAATATTATAATTATAACAGTTATAGTAGTAATAATTACAGTTCGTGTACCTGTTACTGATATGTGACAGGTATCAGCTGATATCGCCACAATACTGGTAGTTAGTAGCAACTGCTGCCGGAAGTTCTAGAATTGGTTGTGTTTACACAAGAGCTAGTTGAGCTGCACTTTGCATTGCTGGTAATCATTTTTTTGCTTAAAAGTTAAAACCTGAGCTACTAATCTGCAGCTTTGCCTTTTTCTTATAAAATGATACATATAAATCTATTTAATATAAACTATCTTCTCAGTCCCTGGTAGTTTGCCTTCTGTAGAGTAAAACCCCGATTTACTGCACCCCGATTTACCGCGGCTATTTCCTTCCCCAAATTGTGCTTAACATGTATAATGTGAGAAATCAAAACCCCGATTTACCACGGATTTTTCTTTTCCAAAAATCCGCGTTAAATTGGGGTTTTACTGTACTGATATTTATAATACAACACATATAATCTATTTAAAAGACACTATTTTCTCAGCCCCCTGTAGTCTAGTAGCTCAACATGCACTGATCATTATAATACTGTACACATTAAATCAGTTAACAGTCTGAACTGTCCTCTTTGGAACTCCGCCTACTTGCTACCACTCCTTCATAATAATTTTCATTGTGTGTTCCGTGAAAAGTTAGCTGTTTATCGTATGCAGTGCTGCTGTCATTAAAGATGAACTTTGTTGCAACTGTGAGCAGGTTGTTTAAGTTTAGATTCTATAGTTATACTGCTTTTTAATGGTTTACATTGAATGGCGGTTTCGTTTTTCTCCGTTACTTTTATTCTAGATCTAGTTGATACATGTTAGTTGCTCTGTTTCGCCGCACTACAAACTAAACCGCTTATCTCTCTCTAATCATGAGAATCGTGCCACCTGTCTCTTAAAGTTAAGTATATTATATTGTTATACATTGAACTGTTAAAATACCTTAAAATAGTTGCCTGGACCAAGATCAACGCTTTAAGTATGCAAACCATCCCGCGTGCCGAGCCTTACTAACTTGTTTTGTATAACTAATACATGTCTCAAATTCCTTTGAATGTTTCGCTTGACGTTCCTCATAAATGAGGCTGTGAGCTACGCGTTGTACAGATTATACAGATAGTTAAATACGATTAGGTGCACTCTAGTTAATAAGCTGATAACAATTATAACAGTGTGTTAACAATTCGTTATATTGGGCGGGACTTAGGGCGGGACACCCTGACTAGGTGGTGTCTCTTAGTCCGGGCTTAGCCTTCGCCCTTCACCTACAATTTACTTTGCAGTTACAATTTTTGGTATGTTGGGTGGGCCAAGCTCTAGAACTGTCTAGGAAACGTCTTTATGTATGAGGTAAATCAGGCTCTTGTTCCTAGCACACCTCACTGTATATTTTAGTTTAATTATTTATTCAGCTTTGATTATGTGGTTTACTTTACTAATCTATATTCACTACTGGTATAGTGTAATACGACGGCAGATTAGTCAAGATTATTATTAAATTACATGAAGATAACTAAATTTAACACGTTGTTCAGTTCATCCAGCTCGCGTTATGTTGTTATGGCAATAGTAACCAGGCGTGGTTTCTTGCTCTTCAATCCAGTCCGGTTTAATTAGTTTAGTTTAACTTCACCTGCTGTTGTAGGTGTAGCTACCGTGAATCTGTTTCTCATACAATTTCTAATATAATCTGAGTAGCAATATTCGTCAATCTAACCATTTAGGTTCTCTTTATTTGCTATTGTTAGCTTTGTAAATTAGTTGTATGATTACTCGGCTAATATAGAACTAGCTGATCGTGGGAACCGGTCATATTCCCACATCTTCAAATGTTTTATTAGCGGAACATCCTGCTTTTCCTTTCTTACAATACTACATGAGTATAATGTTTCTTGTTATTTCATTGTGTTGTTCTGAACAAGTTATAACCTGGTAACCTGGTATTGTAACCTGGTATTGTAACCTGGTATTGTAACCTGATATTGTAACCTGGTAACCTGTTATTGTAACCTGGTATCGTAACCTGGTAACTTGGTATTGTAACCTGGTAACCTGGTATCGTAACCTGGTATTGTAACCTGGTAACCTGGTATTGTAACCTGGTAACCTGGTATTGTAACCTGGTATTGTAACCCGGTAAACTGACCCACTTTGTCTGAGAAGAATGACGATACACAATACAATGTTTGGAGGCGGGATGCTCTGCACACCCAGACACGTAAACACTCTGTCTTGTAACCATGGTGACCACAAAGCTCTGCTGTCTTGTCACCCCCGCCACAAGACCCTGGTACAGACAAAGTGGCCCAAATCAACCTTCATCGTCGTCAACCTCTGTAAGTAAACTACACAATTAAGTTACTTATGTTTATCTGTTATTAGCGGATTGGCGGCTTAATCCTCTGTTGTTCTATTGAAAGGTTGAGAATGTGCGAGATGCCAGGTTGATAAAGTCTTATAGTTACGTGATATACACATGATCTATAAAATAAAGAAGCCTTGGTGCGGGCCAGGTACGGGCGTTAACCGTGCTATTTGTATTTCTTTATGAGTCGGGGAAATGCAAATAAGAAGCCTCAGGCAGAAACAAATTGGCACGGCAGGGTACTATTCATATCACAATTCACCTACCTTACTTGGTAAGTAGTACTTATCTTCAAGGTTCCATGATTCTCCATCCACTTCCTCAGACATGA